GTCTCCTATGACCACTTGAAAGTGTTTGGTTGCAAAGCTTTTGTACATGTGCCTAAAGATGAGAGGTCAAAGTTAACTGCCAAGACAAGGTAGTGCATCTTCATTGGTTATGACCTTGATGAGTTTGGTTACAGGCTATATGATCCAATTGAGAAGAAGGTTGTGAGAAGCCGTGATGTTATCTTCGTGGAGGATCAAACCATTGAAGATATTAACAAAGCGGAGAAGTTAAAATCTTCAAGTTCTGAAGGTTTAGTTAATCTTGATCAAGTTCCTCATACAAATGGGGATGACACTGGTGGGCTCAATGATGATGGTGATGCCCAGAACCATATTCCAAATCAACATATTGATGGTGATGGGGATAACAATGCTAATGTAGATGAGGTAGATGCTCCTACTCACGAAGCTGTGGACGAGTTAGATATTCCACTCAGGACGTCTTCTAGACCTCGTACTCCTTCCTCCCGTTATTCACCCAATGAATATGTATTACTCACTGATGGGGGAGAGCCTGAATGTTATGCGGAGGCCATANCTTTTGCAATGAAAGACTTGGGTCATGCTAAGCAGATTTTGGGCATGAGAATTAGTCGTTCGAGAAACGAAAGGATGCTTTACTTGTCAGAGGAGAAGTACATAGAACGTGTACTGGAGCGCTTCAATATGAAAAGTGCTAAGTTGGTTCGCACACCTCTTCCTGGTCATCTGAAGTTGAGCAAGAAGATGTGTCCAACAACAACGGAGGAAAAAGAGAGAATGACCAAGATTCCTTATTCCTCAGCCGTTGGAAGTTTGATATATGCAATGGTATGCACTCGACCAGATATTGCTCATGCAGTCGGTGTTGTTAGCAGATTTCTCGAAAATCCAGGAAAAGAGCATTGGGATGCTGTAAAGTGGATACTCAGGTATCTAAGAGGAAGCTCACGTGAATGCTTATGTTTTGGAGCATCAAATCCAATTTTGAAGGGCTATATAGATTCTGATATGGCAGGTGACCTTGATAGCAGAAAAATCCACTACTGGATATTTGTTTACTTTTTCAGGGGGAGCTATATCATGGCAGTCGAAGTTGCAGAAGTGTGTCGCACTATCTACAACTAGAAGCGGAGTATATTGCGGTTACTGAAGCTGGCAAAGAGATGATATGGCTCAAGAGATTTCTTCAAGAACTTGGATTGCGACAGATGGAGTATGTTGTCTATTGCGACAGTCAGAGTGCAATAGACCTGAGCAAAAACTCCATGTACCATGCGAGAACAAAACACATTGACGTCAGATATCATTGGATTCCTGAGCAAGTAGAGAACGAATCACTTCAAGTCAAAAAGATTCATACGAGTGAAAATCCTGCAGATATGTTGACCAAGGTGGTACCAAGAGACAAGTTCGAGCTATGCAAAGAACTTGTGGGCATGCACTCAAACTAGAAGATAGTGCTACCTCCTCTAGATGAATGAGACTGGAGGGGGAGATTGATATGGTGTCCATCTCATTCAAATGATTTGGTAGCCAATTTTGTTGACTTGGTTTGGTTTGGTAGTCAACCTTGTTGAATTTGTATAATTTGGTAGCCAATTTTATTGACTTGGTTTGGTTTGGTAGCCAACCTTGTTGAAATTGTGAAAAGGGTGTGTAAATTGTCAAATATTGTAGGCTTTAGAGAGTGAGGTTTTAGCTATAAAAGGAGAGCTTTAACTCTCATTTCTACACACCAACAAAGAGAGAAAAGAGAGAGCAAGGTATTCCATAAACTATAAGAAAATAGTTTGTGAAGAAAAATAGAGTGTGAGAGATATTGTAGTGAGGTGGAAAAAACAAAAGAGTGTTTATTTCTTTTGAGGGTGTAGTGGTCTTAGGAGTATTTTTTACTCGTTACTACACAGTGTAAAATTCCTCGCTATAGTGATATCAGTTGCTCTTCTTGGCCGTGTTTTTTTCCCTTATTCAGAAGGGTTTCCACATAAAAATCTTGGTGTCATTATTGCTGCATTTCTATTCTTGCTGAGTTAACCATAACTTAGTGTTCTGCGTTTATCACTAATACCGTGAATACTATTTTTACGGGGTTTATTCCCAACACCTATTTCTCTCTACATCATCGGTTGCAGATAGAGTTCAATTCGAGTTACTTGCTATCTTCTTCTTCGTCAGTCTTTAACATCATCCACGATCATTTGAAGAACTTCAGAACTACAATCATACAGCATGTTCAACTTACAGGTATGCTAGCAGAAACTGAACAGCCGCTCCTCTATCCAAGCTGAGATTGCGTTCTGCTAGTTCCATGTTTAGTACAGTCTCTAGAGAACCCAATGCTTAGATGACAAAGTATGTGCACAAACTCTCCCTTTCTGAAATTAGACATATACTTACCTAAGTCACAAGACAATAACAGTGAGCCAAATGAGTTACCTAATTTTTAAAAAAATACTAAAACTTAGGTGGTTCAATAATTAATTATCGACATGTGCTTTAGATCTACATGGTAATCACAGACATTAAAATTGTTATTTGCATCCGGTCCTATAAATTTAATTGCAGCAGAATCATATGCCATGAAATTAATATGAAAATTTAACACCATAACAATCTGAGTTTTCTATTCAAATAGTTCAATTATATCTTTACTAATAAAACTTATTCTAACTACTGTGTCATACCTTTAACCAAGTAATGAAAAGTGAAATGATGTTTGATAGTCCATCTTTCGTAACTGTACAATTTAAATAGAGTAATTGCCTGCAAATATAGATAGATATTTTAGCAAATAAATATAGTACCATATACATAGTGAACACTTTAACCTCCTATACAAGATTTCAACACTATCCAAAGATCAGTGATAACCAATACGCAAATACGCATATAAATTATGAAAATTTGATCTTTTTTATATTACATATGCCGTCAATAAACTTCACAGAAAATATTTGTTACAAAAATATAATCTCAACTGAAATAATAAAGAGAGATGTATTTAATTATTTGTTACAGAAATTGAAAGATTGTTCATGAAATACAATCATACCAATACCTTTTGTAGTCCCGAATTATTGTTTGATATGCACACGAGGAAGAAAGAATAGACTTATATATTGTAAAAATAGAAAACTGATTGGACAAAACTGTAAAAGCATGTTACTGACAATGGAGCGCAGAAGAGTTTGTGGGTGAGGAGTTGAAATTGTAATGTGAGATCGTGGGAATCATGATGGAATCGTGGTGGGGATCGTGGGAGTTGAAATCGTGGTGAGGATTGAAGAACCGAATCTGATATTTTTAGGGGAAAAAATAGACTGTAGAAATTACCGTGTTCCTTAAAGACGGTAGATAAAGTGTAGAAACTACTGTCTCTTTTTTTTTTAAAAAAAATAATATACCTATTTAATTGATTTCAAATTCAATTTTTAAAAAAAAAACTAATTTTACCTAAATTAACTGATTTGTCCTAAAATTGCTACATGTCATTTTATGCACACGATATTTGGCAAAATTTCAGGGCTGGCCTTCTTCCTTTTAAGTAAATATAGAAGATACTTTTTTTGAGTTTGATTGATTTGAAAATATTTTTTGCACCAAACACAATCCTCCCATGATTTTCATTCAACTTTTTTGACGATGCCCCTTGAGTGTGGGTTAGACCTTTATTCTTGATCAGTTATTCATGCGGAAAGCTAACAAATTCTCTTCTGAATTTTTTTATTCAACTCGTTTATGATGATTTTTATAACTTAATTTAACTTGACTTTCTGTTGCTTGTTACATTCTTTTGTATGATAAGCAACACCAACCAATATTAACAAGTATTAATACATTCACTTGCCAACGTTTATAAAAAAAATTCCCTTCACTATGTTTGATTTGCTTAGATTGGATTTCTTTCAATCCATTTTAAATACTCAGTCTTTGTTATCATAGTAAAAGCGCCCTGTCTATTATAGAGTTTAGTGCTTATTACTTGGTTGGAGTGAAACTTTTCAATATAAGAGTTGCCTCTTCCTTGCCTATGCTTGTGGACTAACACCTCTGACTATTGGGAAATTTTAGTGCAATATGGTTACGTAATTGAAAATACTGTGCCTAATGATATTTATATTTTAGAATGCACAAAACTTCAAAGAAATGGTAATTCAGGAAACTAGAACATATGCAGCACTGAAGAATTGTCTTCAAAGGAGCAAACAGAAAATAGATAAAGAGAAACATTCTTCACAAAAATCGGTAACTTAAATTACAAGAAAATTCTTTACGTTAATATAGTTCCTATTTCAGATACTTGAAAGCAACTGAGAATTGATCAAAGGATATCCTGATATTCCTTCACTTTTTTCTCACTTTTGCCTTTTAAGTCTTCATCTCCTATAGGTAATGCCGATCACACCCTGTATCCTAAATAACAAGAAGCTCTTTGATTCGGTTGGTGCGTGGTGTTAACGACATGAATCAGGAGCATTTGTGAGACGTTTCGTCTACTAGGAATAGAATGTTAGACTACTTTATAATTCAATTTTGTGGATTATTATTTCAGTTTTTTAAAAACTAAAACTGGATGTACTATGTGATATATTCCAGTTTCACTTTCAAGAGAAACTAAGAAGCTAAACATCATAAATTGTTGTTTTAGGATATTAATGCTGCGTCGTACTTCTTGTTGCTGTGTTAATTAGAGGCCTTCAGTGAAGTGGAAGTGCATTTTATCCTTGAGAGGGCAAAAAAGAAGAGGAAGGCGAGAGAAACACGCAATGTTACAGCCAATTTTGGTTTTGAAAGTGATCGTATTCATTTGTCATTTAATCTTCTTTGCTGAGGAAACAGACTGACTGATTAATTAACAAGAAAGAAAAATACAACTTTGAAAGCTCTACTAGCTAGCTTTGTTTTAGCTTTAAAATAACCTCTCAAATTTTGATTAGTTGCTATAAGGTACAGGAAAATTAGCTTTCCTGAAAAAACTTATTCATCCCCAAGAAAGCTAATTAACTCGAAGTTTGTAAATGTACAAGTTGTGGTTCTGTCACAACGGCACAACCTGTTAGGAATATAGTAGTTATGCCTAGATTCAATATGACTTGAAAAAAAATTGTGAACGTTATTTGATATAAAATATATATGGCATTTGCTATTCTTGTATTTTGATTAATTTGATAAGATCTTTGATTAAATTGTGAGGCTTGTCCTTCTCTGCATTTAATACTGCACGTATGTTCATCATAATTCTTACATACTAATATATTTAAGGAAAAGCTTCAATAAGGGACCTTAGGCCAAAGACGGGGGTAATCTTGTAGCTCCTGAATCCAGCTTCAAGGAACAACTTTTCCCATTCTTTCTCAGTTCTCTCTCTTCCGGTGAGTAAAACCATCATCAATACATCAAAAATGAGCTTCAGTTCAGTCATGTCTTCTTCTTCTTCTCTATTCAGGACTAATAATGACCTTCCCTTTTCTTCCTTCATCTTTATCCTTGATAGCTTCTCTGCATCTCTTTAGCATCTTCACACAATCCTCATCACTCCAATTATGCATAACAATCTGCAAACAAACAAAAAAAAAACATATTTTCAATTTCAAGCATAGGATAAAATTTTTTAACTGTTTTGTTTGACATTGGTATGAGCAAGAAAGCAAGACGAGGAAACGAGAAGAGTGGGGATTCAAATCGGCTATTTTTTCGATTCTAACAAAAAAAATTAATAACCGAACTGAACTAAGGTTGTCCAATAGGACGGGACGACATTTAACCGGGACGATGGCTGATGGGCCTAAGTGGAACGGGATAAACGGGACCAAACGGTAGGCCCATCCCATCCGACTAAGTGGGCCTTTATTTTTTTTAAAAAAATAATTATTTAAGCATTAAATTTGGCAACGACTAGTTTTTTGACAATGACTGAGTTTTTAAAGCTTGCAAGAGCTAATTTTTTTTGACTTATTTAATAAACTTAAAACTTAATAAATTATAAGAGCCTGTTTGGAAAGCCACCTTGGAAATAGATTTGGGTATAATTAGATGTACTTACACAGTTTGACATGTTTGTTTGGCCAAGTAATTACTTGGTCAGCATGAAATTGAGTGTAATTGGAGAGGTGTAATTACACTCTCTAATTCTCAAGGGGGAGGTGAGAATTGGTGGTAATTACACTGTGTAATTACAAGATTGCTTTTTAGTTTATTTTTTTATTTTATTTTAATTTATTTTCTTAAAAAAATTTATTTCTATTATTTTAATTTTTTAATTTTATTTTTAATTTTTAATTTCTTTTGAAATTTTAAAATATATTTTTCTTTGTACATTATTTATCTTTTATTTTTCTACCACTCTTGTGATTCAATGTAATTTCTTATTTTTTATTTTTTATTTATTTTATTGTTCTCTTTTTTGAAACTACATCTCCTAATATTAGAAATAATAGTCATTAAAAAACTTGGCATATAATGAGTGATGCAATTAAAGTTAAATTTTGTTGTTGAATTATAAACTTATTATGTTTCCTAATCTTAAGTTGTAGTGGAACTTATTATCTTTATGTTGGAATTTAACATATGTTAAACCTTTTTTTTTTTTTTTAAATTTTGAAATTGTGTTATATTCATGGTTCCAATTTGCTTGTTTTAGTAGTATTGGCTCACATTGCATGTTGTTCATTTTTTTAGTTAGAATTAATAGATTAGTTTTGTCAAACATTTGAATAATGTTATGACATTATATTTATAAATATTAATTTATTTTATCAAACATGAATTCCATGATGTTCTTACAAGCCTTATATTTTTAGTTTTTGTAAGTATCTAAACTAAATATTATTAATCTAAAAAATATATATGTATTATTTTTATAATATTGGTTATAAATATATGATTACTAATTAACATATATTCACGAAAAAATATACATCTTACATACCAAATATAATATTATTTATACTTATAAAACTTTATAGACATATATTTATTATATTAACTTTTAATTTTTGATAATTATTTTATTTAAAATTTAATCTAACTGTGTAATTACACTTGTGCAACCAAACAGTAAATTTATAATTACACTGTAATTACATTATGACAAACAAAGAGGTTGTCGTAATTATACAACTATGTAATTACTAGGCTGTGTAATTACTACCCTAGTAATTACATCAATTCCAATTACATGGTGGCTTTCCAAACAGACCCTAAAGAAACTAAGTAAATAATTAAATATTCAAACAAAAGACTTGTAATAAAATATTTTAATAATTATAATAGAGTTGTAATTTATTTAATATAATTTCAAGCCCTAAAGTAACTAAGTAAGAGTGTAAGACAATCCATTCAAAAAATTCAAGGCTTAAAGCCTTTTATTTTATTAATAGAACTTTCAAATTTCACATACAAATACAATTCTTTTGAAAAGCACCTAATCTACGCAATAACCTTCTAGGAAAGGTTCTCACGAATTAAATATTGAAATTTGAAGAAATTGCTCAAAAATTTACTCCAAATACTTGAGAATTTAATTTGAAGCTTGAAAGTTGCTCCAAAAGTTTGCCTAAATACTTAAAACGTAGTTGATTGTGAGAAAATTGAGAGAATAAACTAAATAGATGTAAGAGATTTGAGAGAATTTTTGTGGGAAAAAATGAAAAAGAATTGGGGTATTTATAGTTAAAAATAGTGCCAAAGTGTAATTTTTTTTAGGGATTAAATTAAAAGTTTGGGGGGTAGGGGGTGTTTTTTTTTGGNAAACACGGGGGATGAGACGGGATAAATGGAACGAAATAGGCAGCCCGTCCCACCTTGTGTACTGTTTAATATAAGCCCATCCCGTTTAGAACTAAGTGGGCCGGGATGGGATGGGGGCTCGGCCCGTTGGACAGCTGAACAGACCCTTCATAAGTATCACAAATTCACAATCAATGACCTATAACATTTAATACAGAAATTATGTAGTAATTGAAAGACTACATAATAAAGTATGAACAGTGAAGTGCAAAGGGAATTTCGTAAAAACTGAACATGGATTAACATTATGTCATTCTCACAAATGATGACCCACTCAAGATTACTCAGTAGTGACATATAGATCAAGTATAATATTTTATGTGAACTCTTTTTTTTTAGTCATCTCCAAAAAGTTTTATACAATTTAACTTTAAATTGCTCATTTTATCCTTAGTAGGAAGATTTACGGCTAAATATCTATTGTTTATTTTAGGTCACGGTGTCAATTATCTTTCTATCTTTATAACATCATACCCAGTCAACCACCATTACATAAATTGGACCACAAAGT